ATGGAAAAGAGATTAATAACACGATCCAGTAGTCCGTCGCTTTAACGATGGCTGGTCTAAATGTTCTAGAACCGCACCAGTTCAGAACAGAGATATAAAATGTAGGTATGCTTGTGTGTACATGTCAATCGGTTATGCTCATTCCCTAAAAAAAAAAATTCCGACGAATATCTAAAAAGAATATTCCGGGATTAGTTTCAATCGCGTACTATGGCCATTAATTAGCCGCAATTAGTCTCATGTGGGTATTATTTAAGATCAAATAGTCTTGACTCATCAATCACGGGTATGATTGGAGATCAATGCAAAAAAAGGCAACATCAAATGTGTATATATGGAATCAGGGAAAGCTAAATCATGGACACGCTTAATCGAATATACTCTATCTCTTTAGCAGAAATAAAGGCAATTTCCATAAAATCCTGCTGGTAGCTAATAACAATAATAGATTACCAGCATCGCGACCCCCGTTGAATACTTTCGGAGCTGGAGCGTTTCTGTCTATTCGAACGGCATGATCTAGCCAGCGTAGCCGCAGCTACAGCTTTCTTGTTTTTCAGCCACGTAGTAATTGCTATTCGTTCCACGTCATAGGCAGGCGGTGGGACATCAACTCCGTCATCATCGACTGGCGGCTCGTACCGCCTTTTTCACTACTTTCAGTGCTGCTACCATTCCCTCTGTACGTTCTGCACATAGTTCACTAGGTCCTCATGGTGATTCTTATAGGAGTTCGCCCTAGTCTTGAAACCTTCCGTAAGTCGCCTAACTCTGGCAAAATTTTCGGTAGTTTTATCTGTCGGCCAACATTTAAAACTTTTCGCAACCCCGTATTTTGCGGTCTCTCTCATTACGGCAAATACGTATCGCTTCACTCTTCATTTCCCTTTATCGGTACCCCATAGCTCGCGTTGTGGCCGATCGCTGTGTGGTCCTGTAGGCGGCATATTTTTTTTCTGCAGCTTCCTGAGATTCCTTATCGTACCAGTTGTTCTTTTGGTCGTACGTAATGAGCGGGAAATGTGGGTCCGCTGCACGCATATGTCGGTTTGTTGGACTGGTTGCCAGTTGCTGTTGTGCAAGTATTTATATTTTTATAGGCAGCCAATCTTCCCAACAAGTATCTGACATTCACGTCACCTTTCCACCAACCATCGAACTCACTAGCTCGTTCTAACTTGCTTCCATATACATACTCGCTTTATATGTACTACATTGTATATGCTTTGGAGCATTACCGTCTCACTTACATATGCATGTATGTATATGTTTTGTATGACCAGCCATCCAAGTCGACGACGTCCCACAAGAATTCTCAGAATTCTTGACAACATTCCATGGAGTGGCCGTCGAAGCGAAGTTTCATTACTTCTTAATACCGTACACATACAGGCGCGCACACTTTAACACCAAACATTACCGCTATCAGCACCTTCCACACCACCTATACAACATCTCATCATCGCGTTATTCTTTGGCGCACACTCGACGTGGATCGCTGTTCAGTAAAACGCGTGCGCGCACAGAAAATTACCCATAAATATGGCAAAAGCGCGATGATCGCCATGCGCGCATGCTCGTACCTATGTAAATTCGTACATACGTAGCGTAAAGGGTGTGAGAAAGACGCGAAGTCGCTTGGGTTTGTAAAAATGTAAATAAACCTGTAGCAGCGTTTTGCTGATGCTGATGTCGTTTTTTTTATTTTTGCATGTAATGTAGATAAAAATTTAATTTCACGACAGCGTTTATAAAGTGAAGAAGGCGTGGGATTCGAGCATTTTGGAGTAAATAAGATCCGATAGAATTCGTAGGTTCCCACTTTCGTTATAGCTTACCAATAAATCGGCTTGGGCCGAGGTCAAAAAACTACATACATATATCGACGCCTCCAAACCATGCCATGCTAAGTCAACTTAGAAGTATGCGTACATGAGCAAATCCTAGCGATCCGCACGTTACGATCGGCAATTTCTATTAATTTATTGCTTGCAAAAAAATATAAGATACAAAATTTGTGGGGTATGAGGAAAGGTATAAAACAACAGTACCGCCGTTGCAAAAGGTGCTAACTCCATTTTTCAGTCAAAATAAATTCTGATACTGACCGAAAAGGGGGGAAATATCTCTACATGGTGGTGAAAGCAAATTATTATTTTAGTATTTGGAATCGATAAAAATCAGAGAACGCCTTCCGGTTTTGGTTTAGTTCTGCACGAGAACAAAATGTAATGTCAAGAACGTTCCTGCAAAACAACCATACGGGAACAAAAGTATTGAGAGCTCTTTGAACGGATACAAAATGAGAACACAAAAAAAAAACGACCTCGGGAATGTTCTCAATAAGAACACGGGGACGTTTCCTAAGACGAAAGTATCGAGAACGTTTTCAAGGGGGATCAAATAAGAACCAAATTCTGTCGGAACGTTCTGCTAGAGAACAAAACGAGAACAAAAGTTTTGAGTACTTTACGTTAAGAATGAGAGAGGCATCTGCGTGTTGAAATGATAAATAGTTTCAGTAAGAAACACGATTGATAATTCTAAGCCAAAGGAAAGCTTAATCATTTCTACTGCAAGAAAAGTTCGTGTCTTAAGTCTTTCGTTTACTTTATTTGCATAATTACATATGTTTCAGTTCTTTTACGTTTAATTTTAATAGTTAAACTTTTTATCCTAATGGAACGCTATGAGAAAAATTGTACCCTCGCTTCCTCTCTTCGGGAATAGTTCAGCGAAGATTTGTGCCCGTTTCGTTCTCTGTCAGAAAGTTTCTGAGACTTAAGTTACCAAATTGTTCTTCGAGAGAAAGTTCCTTAGATTTTTGTTCCCATTTTGTTCTCTTAGTAATTTTCCCGAAATGTTCGCATTTTGCTCTCGTTGAGAACGTTCCACAGGGATTTGTTCTTATATAATTCCAATTAAGAATATTCTCGACAGTTTTGTTCTCATTTCGGTTTTGGTATTTTAATCGTTCTTGGGATACTACGAGAAATTTATTTTCGATCATATGTTTTGTTCTCGTTCCCTGGAAAAGAAATATGAAATTAATTAATGTGCAATATGTAATTTTTAATAAAAAAAAAGCACGAAAATTTCAATTGCCTGCTTTTTCCCCTTCCACGTTGACTATTTAAGATTTAATATTTTGAATCATAAAAGATTTAAATCGCTTATAAAAACGAAGTCTCCATCATAACGGTTAAAAATTATCGAAAAAATAATAATAATAATAAAATAAAAAGAGCAATTTTGCAATTATCTAAACATAATAATCTTGTTATTTGACGGTTATTCTCGGTCCCTAAGTTATGAAGATTTCCATTTTTCTCTATGCCAGTAACAAAATTAACGTTAAAGAACTGCTTTTAAGGCTCCATCTCGCCCCCACTTTCACTTATCACCTTCTGCTTGATAACTTTTTATGCTGCTTACTTCTTACTAAGGTGACCGACCACCTTTAGATTTCTAATCCTCCTGCACCCTATCTGACCATGGACCTGGCGTTGTGAGCACTTGTACTCATTTGCATGCATGCAAACATACATATTTACATATTTGCATGCACGTGAACATAGTACATCTGTACGTACATATATACATATGTATGTACATATGCAAATACATTCGTTGTTGTGGTGTGTGGTGTATACCTTAGCGATTATTTTCACTGTTAATTTCTTGTTTTTTTTGCGGTGTTTTCAATGTTTTTCCGTGTCTCGCTTATTGTACTCCATTTTTTCTCCCTATATTTATGCATATGTGTATGTACAAGTTTTCATTCAGTTTTTTTTTGTTACGTTTTCGTTTATTATGTTTTACCTTTCATACTGTTCGTATTTGCTTTTTAAAACCCTTTAACTGGTTGCTTACAACAACTGCATTGTATACAAATGCACAGAAAACATGCTCTCCAAAGTCAGTCATTATCGCCATTACTACATAAACAATATTACCTCGTATAATTATCAACTACAGCGATTAACTTCATTATGACGTTTGTACAACGACCTAATGCCTTAACGTATGCTATGCTCCCTTGCGTTGGAACACAAACAACCCGTAGTAGTGGAAGTTTTTGGAGGGAAAAAATCTTGGCGTCGTTTTTCAAGTTTTGCTTTGAGCTGTCTTTTGTTTTTGTCAGAGTTCCTCTGAACGTTTATTTTGTTTTTCTTTTTCTGATGATGTCGTTTATTTTTAATTTTTCTCTTTTCTGTTTTTATGTGCACTTGGTCTCAGCTCTTTGAGGCTTAATTTTCTGAGGGATTTGTATAAGTTACGAATGGTAGGCTGGCATTAATTTGTGCGATTTTGAGAAATCAATTACTTATTGCTTTTACTTGGAATTAATAAGATAATTTTTGTTGAGGGTAGCTTTTAAATGAAAGAGCTTTAAAGATGATTAATTTTTTTAAGGAAATTGTTCAAACACGAATTCTAATTTCACGTATCGATTGTGTTGTGGTACCTCTAGTGATCAGCATATTGATTGGATAAAGTTTTCTACCCAATACGACCATGCAGAATGTCTTTTAGGGAACGCTTGAAAGAAATGTTGGGCTTCAGTTTTTAATTTTTTGAAAGTTAGGCATTAATGTTTGGTATTCTGAGAGCTGTGCATAAATTTTTGGTTCTTTATAAGTTTGCGTATAGGTACAAATTTGCCTTTGAAGGATGGATAAAAGCTTTGTACGGTAAAGAGTAGACAATAACTATAGCTGTTGTTTACTTTTCACCGTTTAAACCTCATTGAAAAATGTCCTCAATTCTTTTTCATATTAATAAACAAGCATATTCCTCACATTCCTCGACTACCTATGCAACTTGCACATGCGGCATTTTCGCTCATACATACATATGTATGTATGTATGTATGTATTTCCCTCTGTCTCATTCTAACTGTTCCTTAGATAAAATTTCCAGCTTTCACCTTTCATCAGATCATGCTCTGCTCTATGTGCACATTTTCATTACAATTTTCTTCTAATTTTTCATTACAGTGTCATCACCAACGACAACAATAACAAAACATTCCTTACGATCAGGTTAGTCGTTTGTCCGGCGATATTATCGAAGGCCGTCGTAAAGTCGGCACAGGAAAGAAAGGCAAGCCGAGTAAAAACAAGTACACATTTGACCTCAACATACGATTCTTCACTTGGAAAGCCGACGTAGTAGTAGTGTATGTAACTAAAGTTATTGGCGACTACGATTTACGATACCAAAGCAAAACTCGAGCGCAAAAATAAGGATACTATAAACAATACGTAATGAAAACAAAGAACTAGAGAGCTAAGCAAGATATATGTAGCGGCGGCATTAACAAAGTCAACAGATATACATACATTGTTAAGGCATTAGTACAGTGTTGTACAAAGTTTAAGGCGTTGTGTCTTCAGCAGCTCAGGTTTTTACACTCATTAGCAAGGCAGCACACGCTTCTTTGGCTTCATTTCCCTCGAAGAAGAAGTAAGCAGAGCAAAAGAAACCCAAAGCCAGCAATCGAATACACCACCGCACCAAACTACTACTACTACTACTACTACCGGTCGTTCACAACCAGCAAATAACGAAAGAACACACGACTGTCCGCCCGTTCATCCGTCCGCTGGTTTTTGTTTTTTTTTTTTTTTCAAAACGTGTTGGCGTTCTTCTTCATCAACGGTATGTGTTTTTGTGTTTTTGTATTTGTTTACGCACATCTTAGCATATTTTGTAGTTGTAGTAGTAGTTGTAGTTGTTGTATACCTTTTTCTTTTGATATTATATTACTGTGTTGCGTGCATGCGTGCGTGTGCCCCCCACAAACGAACGCGGTGGCGGCGGCCATTGACTGCTGGCTGTCTGACTGTTGAGTTGATTGTGTCTGCAAGCTTATTTCTGTATAGGCTTGGAATCCGTGCGTATATCAGCGTGTACGTTAATCGTACTTAATAGAACCATATGCGTATTGTAGTTGGTGATGCATTGTATTTGTAGCTAGAAACTAGTCTTACTACTTTGATCTGCTTTTGTTTATTTTTAATATTCTATTTTCTTCGTTGTGTGGTAGTATGTCGTCTAGTCATGCCCATTTTGTCTGTACATCTCATTCGTTTATTCGCACGAAAATGTTGAGACATAATATAACATGTAGTAGTTTGGTGTATTTTGTTGATGATCTCGAAAATTAAAGTTCATATGCTACGTATTTGCGAAATTCGTTGAATATAGTACAATTTCAAATTTGATAAGAAAAGAAATCGCTCTATTTTTGTGCTATCTAGTTTGTGTCCCAGTTTTTCATCTCGAGTTAAGCTGTGCTGAGTTTTTAAATTGCCTTAGCACTTAGCTTATGTAAATATTAATCTCAGAGTTCTCGGGGAGATCAAGAAATCCATATCATGGTTGGCTCAGCTTCCGTGCTGATCTGCTTAAGGCCCAACTACTGTGAGAAAAATCGTGTTTATGGCGTGCTTCGTATTGAAACGGTGAGACTTGCTCCTGTAACTATTCGGCTATGTCAGCCGTTTTATAGACCATGGATATTACCCACTTATTGCTATGGGTTTGGTTAGTATCTTTATTTAGTCTTCGAAATTTTTGCCTTGAACTCTCGAAGATCTTCAGTAAATCTTTTCATTGCTATACTATGTATTTCCACTTCGCTATGCTATGTTAAGTCTTTGGCCGAGCTTCTCATCCCATCAGACAAATGCAGAGACCTACAAATTTACCCCGCCTGCTAACGGCAAATGGTTGTATGAGAAGCTTTTTCAAGGCATAAATACACTCGGAGGTTGGCCATTGCCTGTCGAGGATTCGGACTCACTAAACTAGCGGGACAAAATGTAAAAATCAGAGTCATGCGAATAGCGTCAAAATGTCATGGCTTGCTTCTTAATGCAAAAGATAATTGTAAATAATTTTTTGATCTCTTTTACTAATAAAGAATAAGTTGGCTAGTCGATGCAAGTCAGTTAGCAGTAGCAGAGAAATTTTTGTTTTTGCGACACCCATACAATTATTTTCAATTTTCAGAAACACCAGAGCAATAAGTTTCGAGCGAATTCAATTTTTAAAATATTCGATTTTTGAAACCTGCTTTCAGATTAGTAATCAGCCACCATAAAAACTTCGAAATACTCTGAGTAACAAGTTTTGAGCGAATTCAATAAATTTTTGAAAATTATTTCGCCATATTGGATCCGCCATATTGGATTTTTGAAACCTGAATTGAGATTTGTAATCAGTGGCCCCATAAACTAGTAGATCGTAGATACCAATTTGTGTACAAATCCATCAACGCCAATCTATTAAAATAGTTTTGTCCGGCTAGATTCTCTATTCGCTGGTAGGAAAAATTTTCTAATTTAGATGTTGCTCGGACCAGGGGATCAAACCCAGGTCCTACGGAGTGATAGTACGTACCACTAACCACTCGGCCACAGCAACCGCGCTACGCAATATCTACGTTTTTTCATGATTTCTTAAGTCCAAGGTCTCATTAGAACCATCCAATAAAGAGATCATTGCTCTTAAGAACAAAATCATTGCTTGAATTTCCTGTCTGTGTGATTCACATGTGTTATCATTTATTATTTTATTATATTTATTTTCAAATTAAGCTGATTAGCACTGCTTACACTTTGATTCCATCACCAAAACAAAAATTAAAAATGGAATAAAACGTAATATTCTTGCGCGAAACGTTTTCATTCAAGAAATCGCTGGCGAATTTCGGTAACACGTCGTAAGTAAGTGCATTCAACGGAAGCAACCAATTTTACATTCTGTTTAAAGTTTATATTAATATTTTTGTTGTTGTAATTTCACTTTACCGCCATTACCGCTACGGCACTTTTGCCGATCTGTGTATTAAGCATTTTATAGTGCGCTTCGCCTCATTGGTTGCTGCGAGGTTAGGCGTGAGTAGTGTTATTTTCGTCTGGGTGGTAGTGGGGACTTTTATTTTTGGTCATTCTCTACTTCCGTTCACCACTTATGCACATGCACACCTACAGATGTATGTATGTATGTATGTACATCCATACTTGCATATCTGCATATGCGTCGATTAAAATACTCGAACCATTTGCAATGCGTCGTCGCATCACTTCATTCCCTACCCTACCTATTCCAATCGTTTCTTCTCATTGAATCGTATTGTTTGTTGTTGCTCTTTTTGTTGTGTGGAGCGCGTGAGTGTGCTCCCCATTTTGGTTGACTCTGGCTCTCCACGCTACTACTTGTCTGCCAGCCTGTCGTTTGTTTTGTGGGTGCTGGCGACGGTGACGGGTCGCGAGACTCATTCATGTTTTTTTT